GTCACACAGACATCTGCATCATATAACACACATCACACAGACACCTGTATCATACAACACACAGTGTCACACAGACATCTGCATCATACAACACAGAGTCACACAGACACCTGCATCGTACAACAGACAGCGTCACACAGACACCTGCATCATATAACACACACATCACACAGACTCCTGCATCATACAGCACACACATCACACAGACACACTGCATCATACAACACACATTACACAGATACCTGCATCATACAACACACGGCGTCACACAAACACCTGCATCATACAACAGACAGCGTCACACAGACACCTGTATCATACAGCACACACATCACACAGATTCCTGCATCATACAACACACACAGACACCTGCATCATACAGTACACAGCATCAGTCAGACACCTGCCCACACACAGGTGCACGCCACAAGGACAGGTGATCACCACCCTCCGAGCTGATGGACAGGCAGGCTCACAGAGCAGCAGGGAGTTACTTGGTGTGCGCTGGGGTACGCTTTGAATTTCTTCCTGCTCATGACCACAGGGACTTACAGGGCCCTGGTAGTGCCAGGGAACACACAGGTTTCCCCCCAAATAGTATTAGCCACTTGCGTCACTTTACCTATTTCCAGTAATTTTCTTTGCAATCACAGCCTTCCATGATAGGGCTTTCTGTAATAACAACTCAAAACGCTACATAAGGAGACATGGGTCTTCCTTTCCCTCTCGGGGCACACTGGGCAGGTTCTCATCTGTCATTTCCCGGAGACCACCCAGGGCCTCCAGCTTTGATTGGAAGTTCAGCTCCGCGCACCCTGAACTGCCTGACCCTTTTCAACGCCCCTCTCTATGGGGACGGCACGGCTCTGTGCTGCCAGGCTGGCATCATTGTTCCAGGTTTACAGAGGAGGAAATGGGAGCTCAGGTGTTTGCAAAACCCCAAAGGCCCTCAGTGAGGCCTCAGCCCAGGTCCTTCCAGGACTGCTCCCAGGGGGCAGGAGGAGGAGGAGAGCCAAGCTGCCTTCTGTACAGCGGGAATTTCGTGTCCGGGTGCATAGTGGTGAGCAGCTTGGTTTCATCTGGTAATTGTCAAGACCTCCACATTTACCAAACGCATGCCAAAGCCGCCAGCGGCAGGGGTGAGGCCGGTCAGTGGACGGAGGGCACGAGGGAGCGGCAGGTGCACCCGGTGAGTCGGTGCAGCCCAGGACCTGTGTCTGTGTTTCAGAGCGCATCACTCAGGTGAGGACGGACATCTACGTCACCAGCTTCGGCCCGGTGTCCGACACGGAAATGGTAGGTCCCGGGGGTGGCCGGGCACACGGTTCCAACTCCACGCCACAGGTTCCCGCCCGGCCCCTCACACTGACCGCCTGGCGATTTCCTTTGCGCTAGGAGTACACCATCGACGTGTTTTTCCGGCAAAGCTGGAAAGACGAAAGGCTCCGGTTTAAGGGCCCGATGCAGCGCCTCCCTCTCAACAACCTCCTCGCCAGCAAGATCTGGACCCCCGACACGTTCTTCCACAACGGGAAGAAGTCCATCGCACACAACATGACCACGCCCAACAAGCTGCTGCGGCTGGAGGACGACGGCACCCTGCTCTACACCATGCGGTGAGCACCCAAGGGTGGCCGGGGAGGGACAGGGCCAGGGTCGCGGCGTGAACTGTTCCGAGCGCAGGTGTGAGACCTCAGCCCGCAGGTGCTGGCGGTTCCCCGTGCCATCTGCCCGTACCCGCGCTCTTGGACGTTCTTTCCCTGGGCTGTCGTCGGTCCATGGCCGTTTGTCATTTGTCCTCGTTTATTCGGTTCAAGCTCAAGAGCGTGTATGGAACCATGGCCCAGTTAGTGTCAGACGGAAAAATTGTTATAGAAGATTTAAGCATCTAAAGAGCACCGGACGTGCGTGGTGGCTCATGCCTGTACACCTGCAATCCCAACACTCTGGGAGGCTGAGGTGGGAGGTTTGCTTGAGGCCAGGGGTTCGAGATTAGCCGGGGAAACATAGTGAGACCCTGTTTCTACAAAAAAATAAAAGCAGCCAGGCAAGCAGGCATGCACCTCTCTGGTCCTACCTACTTGGGAGATTGAGGTAGGAGGATTGCTTGAGATCAAGAGTTGGAGGCTGCAGTGAGCCATGATTGCACCACTGCGCTCCAGCCTGGGTGACACAGCAAGACACTGTCTCGAAAAAAAAAAAAGGAAAGAAAGAAAGAAAAAATAAAACTTAAGGGGATTTTTTTTCCTTTCCCTTCCTTTCCTTTCCTCCTTTTCTTTTGTTGCAATTATGTAAGTTTTAAAAGCCCATTTCTCACATGCTTTGATAACATTAAGTTAATGTTAATGTTAACTTTTAGTATTTATAATTTAAACTGACTGTTAGTCATTTTTTAAATTTTGAATTATTCATTTTCCTGGAGCAAATCAATAAACTGATCAATGAGAAAGGCTTCTTGAGACTTTTTCACAGTTTCCAAAGTGGGTCTGTGGAAGTAGGCTTCAGAAAATATTTTTTAAATTGAAAAAACAGCAGCAATAAAGTCGAGTTTAAAAAAGGAAGCACATGTCTTTTGCGTAGGTATTGGAATTTCTCTATCTTGGTACAGTTTTTCACAGTAAACTTTATATTTTAAAAGAGTAATCCTAGTGGAAAGTAACACTGATGCTGTCATCTTTGGAGGATCTGTGTTTCCTAGTATATGTTCTGGTGCATACTTTGACACACTGTGTCCTGTTGATTAAAGGGAAACAAACTAAGCTTTTATTCTTCTTTTTTTGAGAGGGCGTCTCACTCTGTCACCCAGGCTGGAGTGCAGTGGCGCTATCTCGGCTCACTGCAACCTCTGCCTCCTGGGTTCAAGCGATTCACCTGCCGCAGCCTCCCGAGTAGCTGGGATTACAGGCGTGTGCACCATGCACAGCTAATTTTTGTATATTTAGTAGAAAGAGGATTTCACTACCAAGACCAAGCTGGTCTTGAACTCCTGAGCTCAGGTGATCCACTGACCTCAGCTTCCCAAAGTGCTGGGATTACAGGTGTGCACCACCATGTCCGGCCAATACATGCAATTTTAATTCGAGAAGACAGTGGGACACTCTCTCATCTGAAACATTGTTGCCCTTATGGGATGGTGAGTCAGTGGCACTGCTTACAAGGGGAAGAGGCAGGAAGGGGGCCTGTTACTGAGTCTGTATAGCAGGCAGCTTTACAGTCACAGCATCCTCCAGTGCTCAGACAGCCTGGCCAGCCAGGTGACACCGTGACCATTAATGGACAGAAAGAGGACGGCTTAGGGGTGTTTGGTAATCAGCCCAGGATCACACGCAGCAGTTTGAGTTCAGGTGTGAGCAATGTTCCTGTTTAATCCATCACCTTTGAAAATTTGAGGGATACCAGCATCATTAAATAGAGAGTGGCTTTTTGGGAGTGTCACACCCAGAAGGAAGCCAAGGAGAGGTGAGAACCAGAGCTACTTGCCAGTGGTAATTAGTGGCTGTTTGTGCAGAGGAAGAGTCTGCTAATGAGCTGCAAGGTTGATAATGAGTTTCTTTCTCAGTCATATACAACATTTGGAAAGTGGAAATAGTCCCAGTTCCAAGTGTTGTGAATTTTAATGTGGCAGAGCTAGAGCCAGAATGCCACAGCGGTTTTACCTACTAACTTAGCAAAGCTGGTGAAATAGGAATCACTGAAGCACCAATCACCCCGTGGTTGGGCCCTTGAGTGCCAGGTCCTTCTGGTCGGCAAGAGGCTACACTGTCAAGCCATGGAAAGCCGATGGTTGTAGGCTGATGCGGTCATTCCCACAGTGTCCATCTCAAGGGACTCATTAGGACTGTGGCATAAGCCTTATGCGCAAAGGTGTCTATTATATTACTTATGAAACCAAATACCAAATACTGGAAGAAATAGGAAAATTTGGTAAATTTTTCAAATATAAATGTATCTTTAACTTTTTTCAGATCTTAGACCTAAGCAAAAAGATAAAATATGAAAATGTAGAACAAACTATGTTCCCATGATGCCCCCCTAAACTTTTTTTTTTTAGACTGAATTTCACTCTGTCACCCAGGCTGGAGTGCAGTGGTGTGATCTTGGCTCACTGCAACCTCCACCTCCCAGGTTCAAGTGATTCTCCTGCCTCAGCCTCCCAAGTAGCTGGGATTATGGGCACCCTCCACCATGCCCAGCTAATTTTTGTTTTTTTAAAGTAGAGACGGGGTTTCACCATATTGACTAGGGTGATCTCAAACTCCTAACCTCAGGTGATCCGCCACCTTGGCCTCCCAAAGTGCTGGGATTACAGGCGTGAGCCACTGTGCTTAGCCCCTGTGATGCTCTTTTAAGCTGAGACAGACATCTAGAAATGTCAGCAGGAACTCCATACAAGTCATTGTACTTTTATTTTTTTTATTCTTAGTTGACCTGTGATAATTATACATCTACATGAAATATAGACTGATACGTGTATTCAGTGTATAATGATCAAATCAGGGTGATGAGCATACATATCACCTCAAACACTTGCCATTTCTTTATGTTGTAAACATTCAAAACCCTCTCTTCTACCTTTCTGAAAATGTACAATAAATTATAGTTAACCATAGTGAATAGGATTTTTTAATGGGAAATCCCTGCCATGTTCCAGAATTCCTTTAAATTAGTATTCAATTGAACAAGCTGGAATTCTTTACATTTGAGATTCGAAAGAAGCCAAGAGAATGCATGCCATTTGCTCCCCAAATGCCTGGCAGTAAGCCTAAGGCACTTTTCTGGAGCTTATCCATGATGTTGGCTCTGAAGAACTTCCTGCCACTATTGGGTCATGCGTTCACTGAATTTTACAAGTGAAATTCAGCAGCTTCTCAGAATCAGCCCAAAGAGCGCAGCGAACATTTCCTGTTGCATCCTCAAGAGGATGCCTATAAAGTACTGAACAATTTCTTTGAGGACCATCTTTCAGCAAATGGAGTGAGCCACGCGACCGAGCTGTGCCCAGAGTTAGGCTTCCAGCATCAGGCAGGGCAGTCAGGTCACTCCAAGGGAAGCTTGGAGCAGTTCCTCCCCGCCACACCCTCCTTGGCAGGGCTGGAGAGGTGAGGGGAGCTGAACCCAGGGACTGGCCTGAGGTCATCTGGGGTCCGGAGGATGGCTGTCCCCTAATTGTTTTCTTGGGTGAGGGGAGGTAGAGATTTTGGTTGTCACTGTGTAGCAGCAATGCCCAGGTCCCTGGTCCCCTCCAGATAAGTGAAGTACAGGATGGCCACCTGTCTCCGAGAGCACAGCAGGTCCGATGACACGTGCACCGTTATGTAAGCTATATAGTGCACAGAGAGGTAATAACCAAGTGACCTGGGAGGCAGCAGCTCCCTTTCATCTCCCATCTTCCCACACCCTCTAAAAGTGCAGGCTCCTGTGAGAACACACAGTGAGGCCACCTAGGGAATGTCCCCTGGTCTTGGGGCTCCCGACAGGAAAGCAGGTCCCCCCGCAGGCTCCTGTGGCAGCAGGCAAGGAGGGTGTCCCTAGAAGGCAGCTCTGCCAGCCCACATGGTCCTGCCTGGCCCAGAGAACCCGGCGGCTGCTCCACCCAAGGTCACTTCCTTGTGCCTGTGTAACAGAAGCATCTGGGCAAACACCGTAGACAGTTTTACGGTGGTAATAGAATACGCTGCCCCTAGTAAAGTAACACTAGACAGTTGTGCACTGAATCCACTCAGCATCGTCTGTTTTGCACAATGTGTATTCCCCTGGGTGTGGTTTTTACTTTGAGGAAGACATATTTTTATGATTGCTTACACTCCATTTAGATGTTTTGTCATGAGTAGAAGCCACTGCTTAATTTGTGAATTGGGGAAATATGTAGTGAAAAGTTTCTGGACTTTGGAGTTGGGCTGACTTAAGTTCAGGTC